CTTACAGTTGTGAGTATAGGTTTGTGGTCACTTCCTATGTCGTTCCAGGACTTGGGGATAGCTTGCGTCTGCTAAGTCGGATGAGCAGATGGTCAGGTCTGGTCTGCTGAGAGATAGGTGGGCCCTGTGTAACAGTGTAGGTGTAGACTCTGTGTCCTGCAGCACTAATAGGTTAGTTGTTTCACAAGTATCTTCGATGTACTTCCCTGTGCTATTGTAGTCAGGGTAACCCCAACGTGGCGAGTGTCCGTTGAAGTCACCAACAAGAAGGGTTTTATGGTACTGTGTCTTGTATAGTTCTGGTATGTTGCATGTTGTCTGAGGTGGGCTGTACACGTTGTATATCGTGTATTTGCTTCCATTGTGCCAGATAGTTATTTTTTGCACATCTGTAGGGTGAGAGGTTGAGTTCTGTGTGGACTGGATTACATTAAAGTAAACTGTCTGTCTAGGGTTGAGTTCTGTGTGGACTGGATTTTAGCAAAGTATACTGCCTATTTAGGGTTGAGTATCATGTCAACTGGATTTTAGCAAAGCATACTGTCTGTCTAGGGTTGAGTTCTGTGTGGACTGGATTATAGCAAAGTATACTGCCTATTTAGGGTTGAGTATCTATCATGTTGACTGGATTATTACAGAAGAACACTGCCATTTTAGGGCAAAGTTAGAGAAGGATTTGAGTAAAATTTCAGCGTACATTTGACATTATGGATGATTTTTTTAAGATCTATTTTATACCCGAAAGTGGAAGAATGGGCCTCAATTTGAACAGTGGGAAGACAGAAGTAATGGTGGTATCAAAGAAAATAATTATTCCTAAATGTGTAATAAATAAAAGTCAATGGTTTTATTTTGGGGCAAGTACAGAAATTTAAGTATCTGGGCACATGGATAACATCAGATGGAAGATGCATAACTGAGATAAGAAACAGAATAGGACAGGCAAAAACTGCATTTTATCAAATGAAGAACATCTTATGCAATATATCTTTGTCATTGAAGGTTAGAAAAAGTATTCTTGCTTGCCACATACATCCAGTTTTAACATATGGCTGTGAATCCTGGACAATCGATAGGCAGACCAAACAATTTCTTGAGGCCTCAGAGATGTGGTTTTACAGAACAATGCTCAAAATACCTTGGACAGCCAACAAAAAAAAAAAAAATACAGACATCAGAACGAGACAGTCATCATTTTGCGGCCATGTCATAAGATGAGGGAAAATGGAACATGTGGTGTCCACTGTAAAGATATGTGGAAGGAGGGATAGAGGAAGACAACGGGAGAAGATTCTTGACAGTCTTGTTGCATGGCATGGAGGTGTGTCGGCACACGAACTAATACATGCTGTAGGAGATAGCAGATTGTGGCGAGGCATAATTGCCAATGCCAGTCAGCAAAGCACCTGTATTCGGCCAAATAGTTGGTCCAGCTATTCGTATTCGGCCGAATAGTGAAAATCACTATTCGATACAGCCCTAATATATATATATATATATTTAAAAAATACAAAAAATAATTTTTAAAAGTTCATTTCTTCCCTTATTTTGTCATTGTTGCATGAATAGTTGAAAGCAATATTATTCCCAAATTCTAAAAACTTTTTTATTTTTCTTTTGTTTTTGCAAGCATAACAAAGTTTACCAACACAAATCACAACAACTGAACAAGCTATAAAAAAGATAGCAGTGAATCACCCTCTTACCTTAATGTTGTTGACTTTATTCAACAAAACAGACTTCAGCCAGACTTTCAGATCATCAGCTTCGTTCTGTTTGAGACTCTTCTCATCTAATGGAAGACAAAAATATGACGGTGATCTTAGGACATGGAACACACAGGTACACTAATAAATACACTGAAATTATAGCTATACATGTCGCTACACTAGATAGCTAGCAAACACATGACAGTTACAATGACAACATCATGAAACACCCGGGAATACACACTGTTACATAAGAAAGGCGATTTATAAAACATAAAAGCTCTGATGGATACATTACAGAAAACACAGAAATACACATTACTATATCAGATAAAAGCCAAACATATGAAAGAGATGATGATAACTTCATGGAGCCAACATGTATATAGACTGTAACGCAAGTCTTCCCACTGTGGGGGCAGGAGGACCACACAGACCTACCGCCCCCTCCCCCCCCCACCCCCAACAAGCATGTGGTAAAACACGACTAATTAGGGGCTTTTTCTTCCAAGTTGGAGAGCATCTGCCTGAAAGGTTAGAAACCAACAGTCTGCAGACAAATAAGCCAGATCTCTAAAATGGATGTGCAAACAAGATTCAAGCTCTAGAACAAGACAAAGTTCAGAAGTTGACAAACAAAGAATTAAAGGGAGACGACTCTCAAAACTGGAAACTGCAGGCACCTAAAAACATAAACCTAGATCATGCCAAAGGCTTAGCTCTCTTCATAACATCTGGATTACTTATTTAGGCTCTCAAATGAACTTTAAGCAGTTTTCTGTATAACCATATCTCTGAGGCCTCCCAGAATGACATACCAGTTCTATTCACAAGTTTCAATCAGTTATATTTAAATGCTTCAATTAGCTTTAGTCACATATATCAAAAATTCAAGGAAGAGTCTAGCACAGTCAATGGAATCGGTAACACAGAGAAAGAGAGCAATGTGACCAACATATATCATCTGCTCAGGGTTGCCGAAGTTGATACTTTTGCACAATTTTGGTACTATTTGATCCTTGCCAAGCAAAACTGTACTTTTGGTACTGTACCATGCCATATATTTTGGTACGTTTTAAGTTTTCTCTCTCCATTACAAAATTCAGACTTTTTAACAAAAAATTGATGAGGTCAAAGTTATTGGTCCAGGACATTCACTGCACCAAATGGAAGTTGATATGTGCATATCCTGCCATCTTCACAATGGAAGATGACTGTAGTTGATATGTGCATATAATGCCATCTTCACAATGGAAGATGACTGTAGTTGATATTTGCATATAGTGCCATCTTTGAGAATATTATGTTGTGTGGCTCATTATGTCTTCCATGTGCAACTCTCCTACAACTTACAAGAATGAACTGTTTCTAAACTGCCTGCTGTGGAATTTAAACCCTCGCACTTGAGAACTGTAGAATGATTTTATAAAGCCCCATTCCAACAGCCTGTATCTAAAAAGACATACCCTAAAATGCCACACACAAAAACTGCACCAACCTTTCTCATCAACCGCATCTGTGTCTTCCTTATTGTCATAGAGCTCACTCTCCACAGATTTCAGGTTCTTGCGATCGAACTGCCCGAGGTTCATCAACACCAGCTCATCATAGGGTTCGTACAGGAACAGCACTTCAATGTCTTTCTCTTTGAGGGCTTCAAAGTAGGGAGACGTCTCAGCCAACTGACGGCTAAGGAGATGTTCATTCAAAGGACATTTAGGCAATCAGAAGAGAGCAGTCAACAAGTATTTTAAGCAATGAGAACATTTCAAGACCAAAAAAAAATATGTTAAATTAGATTTCAACACAGAGAAAGTCAATAAATTTTTTTTTTTTTTTTTTTTACAAAGTGAACAAGCCAAGTTAATGAGTGTTTCAATAACAATAAAGCCAATTAATAAACATTTCACTAGTGAGAAAGTCAAGTCAATGTCTGACTGAGTGCACAAAGTTCAACCCCACTAAAACCACACATTCAGCATTTAACACCCAATGACTAAAAGCCACCATTCGGACAGAATTAAAAACGAGAAACCCTGTTAACTGTATGACACAATAGTCCAGGAAGTCAGTGTGGAGAAGCGGCTAGACGCTGGCTTGCGGACCAGAAGGTCGTAGGTTTGCTCCCTGGTGGAGCTGGACTTTTTTCAAAAATGACCTTGGCTCCCAGCCTTGAGTGGGTACCAGGTGCAGTCCTGGGAAGTCAAGTAAAATATACGTCTAGCCCTATATACCCAATATGCATGAAAGGCGTGGAAAAGGGTCCTTTTTGACTTTTTCACAGTAGATCAATTGGGCTATTTTTCCATAACATTTGGTGAGACGTGAATACGGCGATTTTCAGTTAGTTGACAGATTATCCTCATTGTACACAAAATCATTCAGTCTCTAAGTGCTAGGATCCCCTCTTTAGTAAATCTCGCAGTATGTAGCAGCTCATACCAGTGCTGTAATTTCTTATTCTTCTTTGGCTTCCTGCATACTGCTTTTGTCTGGCCACACCCCTTTTAACATGCTGTTTTTGCAGTCTGGTCACTGTTGCAGATTCACAGTCATCACTTGGTCCTCGCAAACACCTTACTGCTCATAGAGCATTCAGAATACCAGCATGGTCCAAGGGTCATCCACCTTAAACAGCAGCTTTACCTGCAAGCCGATCTGCTTGCTCATTTCCTTGCACACCTGCGGTCCCTGGCACAAATAAGAAACTGGTAAGTGTCAGCCCCTAGCGCTTCAGAGACTCCAGCCACTGTCTTCTGATCCAGCCCTTCTCTATCTTCCTGAGCATACTCATTGAATCAATGGATACAGTTAATGACTGAGATGTAAGAGTTATACAAAGTACCCAATCTAAGAAGCCATTAATGTATACAAAGTGTGTTGTTTGGCACATTGTTAATGAAGTAACGTTACAATCTCTACCTTGGGGAAGAGAGAAAATAAATGTTTCTCTCCCCTGCTCTCATTCTCTGAGCATATTCCTCCAGACTGGTTAGCTCCCCTGGGTTCAGTTTAGAAGACTCAAATCTCAGCAATTTGGCAATGTCTTCCTAAAGGAAAAATAACAGATTAATCATTATAATTATCACAATACAATTAAAAGTTTAATATAACCAAATACATTATAATGTGTGTTATCTCTAAGTCTTTTCTACTTTTATTTTTTTAAATAGTTGAAGATTTGTCTTGACTGAATAATAATGGAAGAATAATAATAAATATGAGGTATGCCGATTTACCAGAACACATTAAAAAGTTAAAGGACCTAGTTTTCCCTGTGGGGCTCCAATGTTAACAACCAGAGTCAGGAAAAGGTAAACACCAACTGTCTCCCTAATAAGAACATGGTAAGAGTCGACTAATTAGGGGTTTCCTTCCAAATTGGAGTATTCTGCCTGAGAGGCAAGGAACCAACAGTTTACATATAAAAAGCCAGATCTGTAAAACGAATGTGCATACAAAACTCAAGTTCTGGAATAAGACTCAAGTCCAGAAGCTGACAGCCGGTGAACATGAAGAAAAAGAGGACCTAGTGGATTAAACAAACTAGCAGAGTATTTATTAAACATTAACATTTGAGAAATTAAAACTAAGGTAATTAACAATAGAAAAGAGCGACCAAAAGTGAACATCACAGTAAACAAGATTTTTATAATTATCATCATAATTTCTTTAATATTATCATTATTTTAATTATTATTATTACCATTATCATTACGGCTTTTATTACAATTGTTTTAACCTATTACTATTTTCATTTCTTTATTTGTTTCATTTTGCAACATCTCTTCCTATTACTCTATTTTATATTCTGTTATATTCACGTGATTTTTCCCATCTTGGGGTTGGTGAATATGATTTATATTCTTTTTGTGCTACTCGTCAATAAAGGCTTCAGCCAAATCATTTTGAGTGTTTCTGTGTGTGTAACTTGTTTTTGTGTGTGTGCACATCCATTTTACAGATGTGGCTTATTTGTATGCTGACTGTTGGTTCCTAGCTTCTAAGGCAGATGCACTACCAATTCAAGGGAAACAACCACAATAAGTCGCCTTGTATCTTCTTCTTCATGTTCACCAGTTGTAAACTCAGGTGGAAAATTCTGGCTATTCGCCCACTTGTAGACTGTAGTCCTCTTTTAGAACCTGAGTGTTGCATGTGCATCCATTTTACAGATCTGACTTATTTGTATGCAGACTGTTGGTTCCTGTTCCTTGCCTCTCAGGCAGATGCACTCAGACTTTGAAGGATGCCCCAATTAGTCGACTCTTAGGACATGCTTTTGGGTAGGCAGTGGGTCTATTCTTGTTTTCTCTATAAAAGGGTCCCAGAACCCACACAGGGAAGTTACCATGTATGACACACTTGGTGGGTGGGTGGGGGGGGGGGGGGGAAGCACGCTGTGGGTCTATTCTTTCCATCCTCCAAATGGATAGGGGCTACAGAATCCACCAGGGAAATATAATAATAAATAAAAAAAACCTAACTGATAATGAAAAATAAGTCTACTAGGGACCTAGTACAAGTACAAGTTGCCTATGCTCCACTGGCTGATGAAAGGTCAGAAAAGAGGAGATAATGGCAATAACAGTTGTTAACCCAGTAACTACCAGATTCTTCTTTGTGTTCACTGGCTGTAAACTCTGACAGAAAGTTCTAGGTGATGTCCACTTCTGGACATTAGTCTTGCTCCAGAACTTGAGTTCTGTATGCACACCAGTTTCACAGACCTGGTTTATCTATATGCAGACTGTTGGTTCCTCACCTCTCAGGCAGATGCACTCCGACTTCAAAGCAAACACCCCTAATTAGTGCTCTTGTGCAACAAGCTTGCTGGGGCAGCAGGTCTAATCCCCCCCCCTCCCAAAATGGGTCCCCAGAATCCACACAGAGAACTATTAGACAGCAGCGGGTTGTTAACCAGTGAAGATTTCAGTTCTCAGTCAGGAGACCTAGGTTCTAGAACAGCAGTTCTCAACCTATGGGTCATGACCCTTGGGGGGGGGGGGGTCGGGGTCAAAGGACCCTTTCACATGGGTCGCCTCAAATAATCGGAAAACATATATTCACTGTAGTTATGAAGTAGCAATGAAAATAATTTCATGAGGAACTGTATTAAAAGGTTGCGGCATTAGGAAGGTTGAGAACCACTGTTCTAGAGGCTGGTTAAGCAAAAGATCAAATACTGGAGGTGCTTCTTCTGTCTTAGCAATTATCATCTACTATACTTCTATTTTAAATGCCTGAGGAAAATGTTAAACCCAAAATGGGATGAATTCAAAAGAAGTGCAGAAATAAGAGACATGTCTAGGCCATCACTAGTTTCAACAGTTATAAGACAGAGAAGATGGTGTTATACTGGAAATGAGCAGAAATCACCAAACAGGCACTACATTGGGAAACAAATCTGTAAAAATTCAATGGCCTGGAAAAGTTACGAAGGTGAGGATGCCAAAAAGAAACCCTAAAACGAATGCTGATAAGAGAAGCCAAAGGTGCTTGACTGGATTCCATCAATGATATTGAACTGATTGCATTGGACAGAATGGACTGCAGGAACAGACTGCAAGCCTGATGTGACATACAATGGCACAACATGACAATGATGATGATGATGCTTCTGTTCTAGTATGTGTTACAAACATGATGGAATGCCTGAGATCTTCTCCATGCCTCAAATTTTTCTTATTATTAGTTTCTCCAAGGGTCGCTTCTGTCGACCAGATTTCCTCTACCTGACTGGCACAATCTGGGTGGTCATGCAAGATATGCTCCGGAAATTTTGCTTTTGTTGTTCCCTTATACATGTGGCAGAGTCATCGAGATCCACTCAATGAAGATTTTCTCTCTGAGTTGACAATTCTTCATCTTCTTTTCATTCCTTCAAGCAAGGTAAATGCGCTGTGCCCACTTACAGCAAAGCTGCGATTTTTGCGCATTTTGACAGACATCCAATTTCATCGAGCATTTGTTGACCGGATCAACTTCCCCGATAATTTAATGGAACACGACGTAGCCTTATTTGTGTGATCTGCCCGATAAAACCAACCAACACGATGATCAATTCTTTACCCACCCAGGATTGCAGGGTAGACCATTTGGGGTAGCCATCACAGATACCCTAAACGCCTGTATAACTTTCTTGTTATTAGTATTCAGTACAAAATGGACGTTGCTTAGTGCAACAAAGCCTGGCATATATCACAACGTGTAGTTTGAGAATGGAGGTGGAGGCAGTCACTGCTGCCTTCTGCTGGCTTGAGAATCAGCTGTACACACATGCCGTCATTTTAACTGACTCACAGAGCATGTTGAGAAAGGTGGAAACAGGTATGCTCCATGCAGAGTGGCAAGCATCACTTCAGAGATCAAGTAGTTAGTATCCTTCGGATATTCTCTCCAGGTCATGCCCGTGTGTTGGGAAATGAGCAGGCAGATTGACTGGCCGGTTCTACACCACCTGGTGGTGTGACATGTAGGACAAGCTAGACGTTCTGAGGGCCCTCTGGAAGCAAGTGAAAAGTGCAGAAACAGAAGCAGATCATTACGGTCTGAGGAGAAAGGCGTTGCGAGGAGTTGCCAGGGGATCTGGCCGACGCTCAACACTCAAGGGAAATGCAAGATGGATATACAATCAGTTACTGGTGCCATTAAAATTGAAACTCTCCGTTAGCTGCTGAAGATGGGGACGGAGCATTTATGAGGATGTCCTGAGTGCTATAATGTTGATTCTTAATTCAACAACTTCCTTGGAGACTGAATAGAGTATCTATGTTTTGCCCTGTTGGACTTCCATCCAGGATGTGACTCTGGAAGACACAGGGATGGTCGAAGTTTCAGGTGGCCACTAAAAGGAAAAAAAACAAGCAGACAATGACCACAACAACTGTAAACATATACTCTACATACCCTGAGATCCTGTTCAGTGGTGGTGACAATGCCTTCTCGAAAAAATAATCCATAGTCCTCGTAGAATTTCTTATATGTCTCGCTGTCCTTCTTGGCTTGTTCTGTGAAGAATTTGAGAATCCTGGCAGTCAAAACTTGACGAAGCTTCCTGGAATGAAACAACGTGGAGATTTTTCAGAAATGAGATGAAAGCTCTTTGTCACAGCAAGAAAAGGTGGCAGTACAAAACTGAAACATAACCATGGAGACTGCAAGATGCTGAGAAGCATAATTACCTATGCCAGATGGCAAAACACATAATGATAGTAATAAAAGACAATGTATGTATACAAGAAAGATAAATGGAGTTTCCTTTGTAATTTTTTTAAGCTGAACATTTAGGCTGGGAAGATACCTAAAAATATTTGGTCTTCAAGATTTCCAAAGAATTTCAACAAACACACGTGCAATTTTATGTGTTTTTCGTTGCCATTCTCTGAGAAGTGTAGGTATAACATCCATTACTGAAGAATCAGTTTTCAAAAAAAAAAAAAAAAAAAAAAGGTAATTCTTTTCACACCAGTAGCCTTTTACTTCCAAGGACATTTCCTGATACACATTTATGATTGACTGATGGAGATCATGATCATGCTTTAATAGACAATCTTTGGTTTCTTATTCTGCGTACATTACAAATAATACGGGGAATCTCTGCATCAAAGCATGCCAGCTATTTACTTTCTGCTCTGAAGATCCTGAGTTCATTTGGGGTCAACAGTTTGGTCTGTGAGTTCAGGTGTAAGTTGATTTAAGACTCAAAATCACAGAACTTAGGACAATCCCATAAGCACTCCGTTCTCATGTTTAGCAACCAGCAGAGAGTTCCAATGCCGAGTGACACTTTATGAGTGTATGTCAGTCTTGCCTTTTCCTTGAGTGTTTGAGTACCAACTAGAACCCCTGGTCCCTCCCCTTGCACCCTTCTCTTCAGACTGCGATGATCTATTTGTTGCTTTCACACCATTCACTAGTTCACAAAGGGTCTTGACTACATCTAGGGGTCTCCACTTGATCCATAGAACACCCACTCTGAGGGGACAAACAAGGCAATAAGGGATTTTAATTTTTGCCCCGTGACGTAGAAACAATTTCAAAGTTTTTAATTTCTGTTATCCGCGTTTAATATTCCTACCCAAAAAATTTTTTTTTAAAAATACAGGTCACACAGAAAATAATAAATAAATTTATTGACCAAAATAATATTTAAATGCGAACAATATCATGGCATTAATCAATAAACATGAATAGGACAGAGAACTGAGTTATATATCTCTAAGCTTTAAAAAATGTTTCACACCTGCCAGTCACCATTGTAACTGACGAGAAACTCTGATGTCCTAATTTCAATAAATAAAGGCCATTTTCCACGAGGAAACCCTCACTTAAATGCTTTCTGTTTTTTAACTATGCTGAGTACTGGTCATTCTAAAAATGCTACCTGGGAAAAAAACCGGAGGCAATGCTGCTAGAAGAGCTCCTCACAAACAAGCCTCTCTGTGGTACACCAAGAAAGGGACATTTACAAAGCCACAGCCCAAATCAGAAGAGCCGAGTTGTGTGCTTCTCGGAGCAAGAGGGTTCAAACACAAATGAAAGCAGAGCACCACAGAGTATAGTCGCATATCCTGGCATTTAAAAGGTTGTTGAAGAATGAAGATATAGTCTGAAGCCATTTGAATGTGGAAATCAAGGGAAAACTATCGCATTATTCATCCCAAGAAACTCATCAATGCAAACTTTGTTTACTGTTTTGTTTGTCTGCTGATAAAGTACTGCTTCCTAACAAGGAAATGGCAAAAGACAACTAATTAGGGTTTAGCTAAAATTACATGTGTTGGGACAAAAGGCACAGATATTGCAACCCAGCTGTAAACTACAACACAATGTGCCGACTTATGTTCTAGGGATGAGAGCAGAAAAAGAAATCATATTTTGTATTCGTATAACACTTCTATATCAGCTCGAGTGCAGGCACTCTTATTTTCGACAACTATTGACTACTACATTGCATTTGCTTTATCAGACTTTATTGACTTAACCAAAATTCCAGCAAGCCTTCTTTGCATTAGTATTAATCTGTAAATCTTTCTCTACTCATTTGCCTTGTCCCAGCATGCCTTGACCATGGATTCTAAAGATGTGACTGCGGACATGCATGAGGTTATATGCTGACTCTGTATTCCTGTTTAGGCTGATTATCAGGGTCTGTGTGGCTATGGACAGAATATGAGCAGTGACAGTAACGACGGATAAGTACTGACTTGATCGTAGACACAACACATTCATATACACATGAAGACGGCAATCAGAAAGCACGAAGTAGACGGCGACTTCAGTGGAGGATATTTAGACTCTGACGCTGAGTGACTGGGGGAACAAAGGCAAGTCTATGAACAGGTTTTGAGGAGACCATGACAGTGGCTGTAGAGACCAGGATGAGTTTTGAACGCAAGAGGCTTTCGTAGTAGATTTAGTGAAGAGAAGAAGAGATGGTTAAAGATAGAGCGTTTAGTGTGTGCGATAATGTGCTAGTTTGACGGTATTATAATTTAAGTGACATTAAAGCAGTTAGCAGCTCTATGACATTGATGGACATGGGGGTGCAACCTGGAGGTGCAAGACATGAACATTTCATCAAGGGGACAAGACATCTGATTAATCAACACACAACAGGTCTCAAAACGAAAAAGAACTTCAAATCCAAGTAAATGCGCTACACACAGTCTGCAACGAATATAACATGAAGATCAGCATCACCAAAACAGAAATTATGAAAATAAGTAGAACACCTAATATACTAATTATTCAAGTTAACAACGAACAACTCAAACAAGTGCAGCAATTTAAATACTTGGGGAGCATCTTCACAGATGATGGAAGAATTGATAGAGAACTTGAGGCAAGATGTCAAAAGGCGAACGCAGTAATTTACCAACTCTCCCCACTGCTAAAACACCCAAGCATCACTATGGCACTAAAACGACAACTGATAAATTGCATGTTTATACCAACCCTCTGCTACCAATGCCAAACCTGGTCCTTAACAAGAGCACAGGAGAAAAAGATCACGACGTGCGAAATGAGATGCTTACGTAAGGCTGCCAATGTCACAAGGAGAGACAGAGTTCGAAACGAGAACATTAGAGCAATTGTAGGAACCACACCATGCCTGCAATACATAACGAAGCAACAAATAGAGTGGTTTGGCCACTTGATGCGAATGCAAACCGACCAACTGCCTCTACGAGCATACAACGAACAGCACTACTGCCCTAGAGCAAGAGGCAGACCGAGAGTATGATTAAAGTGACAACTGGTGACATCTTAGAATGAAAATGACCAACCTGATGAGCTGACTGTCCTGCAGCAGTTCTCTGCTTAAGTTTAATGGAATGTCTTCGCTGTCCACAACTCCTGGAATGTACAATAGATTATCAGGACACTCATGTACAGCCAGCTACTAAATCACCAAACATCACCTGATAGAGTACTGCTGTTAAATTCATAAAGAAGATATTTAAACATGTAACAGTACCAACATCAAATCGAGAGTGCGATAAAGTACTGTGTTATATTCATAAATGATGCATTTAAACATAGCACCAGCTAGCATTCCATAAGATACAGTGCGTTATTTTGGGGGAAAAACTAGACCTACAACTAGAATTACTGAAGTTACAGTACTGTGTTAGGAACAACTCAAGATCCTCACTCCATCTTGTTTGCCTGCATGATTTTGTATTAGTTCCCAAGGCTGTCCTATATATTCTAGGGGTGTTATGAGATGCCTTCCTTTAATGTCTATACATACTACGCTAAAAACTGTCTCTGGTTCATTTGACACGGTTGACATATTGTGTCCCAGATTAAAATGAGCAGCTTCCTTGTTGCAACTGTCTTTTCTATGAAGGACTGTTGTTTGTGGAATATGTTGTCTTTGTGAGTAGCTCAGGCGCCATAGGCACCTGCATACAAGGAGGAAGTACTGCAGGGGGAAGCGCTGAAGGCACGACAGTTCATGATAGTTATTTTTACATGAGTTGGCAGTGGCTGTCATCAGCAGTGGATGTGCTAAAAATGTTCAAAACAGGGAACACATGACACTCCTCGAACATAGGACAGCCCATAAAAATGAGTACGAAATCACGCAGGCAAACGAGATGTGATGAGAATCATGAGTTGTAACCTGTGTTAGATTCATACATAAAGTGAAATAGTGTGTGGATCCTCATGCTAAGCCAGTTACCAAATCACTAAATAATGTTACAGAAGATATAATTCTTCATGTTTCGGCAGAAAATTTGGGTTGTTCATCCACTTCTGGACAGTGCTGCGTGCATATCCATTTTACAGATCTGACTCATTTGTACGCAGACTGTTGTTTCCTTGCCTCTCAGATAGAAGCACTCTGACTTTGAAGGAAGCTCCCAATTATTCAACTCTTACGACATGCTTTTGGGAGTCAGTGGGTCTATTCTTGTTTTCCCTACAAAAGGGTTCCGGAACCCACACAGGGAACAGGAGGTGCAAATTTATAAAAATCACCAACTGTTGAAAAATTTGAATTGGAACTTCTGAGATAACTTCATCATGATGTTATATCATTATATGTCTCATGGTCATCATCATGTAGCAAGCCCTTTGCAGAACAATGCTCTCATCACAGTCTGCCTGAAAGAAACTCAGTCTCTAGCCAGTTCTCCTGCCTTGTGTACTTTCATATTCAAGGAGTCACTTGAATCATATGCCTATCTTCATGTTGGTCATGATCCTCCCCTCCTTACTGGTACCATACCTTCTGCTATTATTTTTACCAGTCGGCCGCGGCGTTTGATTTGACCAAAATATTTCAGCTTCCGAGACAAGATGCTGTTTATCAACCAATCTTCCTTGATGTTCAGATCTTTTAAAATGTCAGTATTTCTCCTCTTCTTTGTCCATGATATTCTGAGAATATTTCTATAGCATTTCAGCTCAAAATCATGTCACATAGTTCTTGCAGTCTATTTGTCAATTCCATTATATCCTGTGGCGTCCGTGGCTTAGGCGTTGCGAGTCCGACTCGTAATTCCAACGTACTGCAATTGAAACCCGCTTATTACCTCATACAACATCAGAATAGTGATGCAGTGGATTCCAGGTCACTCCGGCACACCAGGTAATGACAGAGCTGACAGATTGGCAAAGAAAGGAGCAACACAAGAACAACCACCTACAGCGACAACCCTCCAGACAGCAAAAACACTGATAAGAGCTATAAACAAAGAGACTTGGTTGAACAGATGGGCCATGGGAGACACTGGAAGAGAGGTTTATAGACATATGTCTGGCCCTGATCCTAATGACAGCATTAACCATCTAACAAGAAGGGACCAGGCCACCATCTTCAGACTTAGAACGCAACATACTCCACTCAATGGGCACCTAAACAGAATACAGCCACAACACTCCCCAGAGTGCCAGCTATGTAACTACCCCTACGAAACTGTCGAACACCATCTCTTTGAGTGCCCAAAACTCAGTGAGACAAGAAGAACGCTACTCCCTCAGAGACCAGACAAGTGGAACACCTTGTACGGAGGAAAAGAACAGCTTGTGAAAACATGCAAATTCCACTACATGGCATTGGGCCAAAGGGCGAAAGCTCATGCGCCGCTGGATCGATAACAACAACAAACCCGCTGCTGGCTGTGTGGATTTTTTATCATGGTATGGAGCGTCGTAGGTCGACCCAGCCTAAATTGGGTACCAGGATGTAAGTCCTGGGGAAGTAAAGACGGCCGGCGTAATGATGACCACATTACCCACCTAGTGCTGATTGGTCTGTAAAATATGGGTGCTCTTCCCATTTGCCCAAAGCACCTAAAGGCGTGAAAATGGATCTTTACTTAACTTTTCTTTATTCTATTCTGTGCAATTGTTTCAATACAGTCCAGCATCTATGGCTTCTCTTGTTAATATTCTCTAATGTTTTTTGTGTGGATGCCTTTGTTTCTTCAATCATTTGTTCTCCGTATCTTACAAACATAGAAATAAAGATAATGTTGAATATATCAACTATTAAGAAATCGAGGAACAATTTACAATCACAATCTATAAACTCCAGCAAGTATCAACAGGTCCAGTAAGTGTTAGTAGGTGAAGTAAGCCCTAATGTCTGCTGTTAAAGGGTGAAAACGCAATGAATCATGTTCAGAAGTCTTTCGGGGGGAAAAGGTAGACAACACAAAGTACTGATAGTACTTGATACCCTAATATACAGCATACAGAACAGAATAAGAAAAAAAGCATGTTTAACAGCAAAATAAGATCTACTAAAGCCAAAATCCCAATTAAAAAAAAAAAACTTCTTTCATTCTGTAGGAAATGAACAAACTGTTAAATGATAAACAACTGGTCAGGGATGTCATACTATTTAACAACAATAATATTTACAGGTACACATGGGAAATATAAAGAAACACATGGGAAATGTGCAGGTACATAGGAGAAATATATAAAGGTACACATGGGAAATATAAAGAAACACATGGGAAATGTGCAGGTACACAGGAGAAATTTATAAAGGTACACATGGGAAATATAAAGAAACACATGGGAAATGTGCAGGTACACAGGAGAAATATATAGGTACACATGAGATATTTTACAAGTACACATTAGTAATATGCAGGTACACATGAGATATTTTACAAGTACACATTAGAAATATACAGGTACACATGAGATATTTTACAAGTGCACATTAGTAATATACAGGTACACATGAGATATTTTACAAGTAAACATTAGTAATATACAGGTACACATAAGAAATATACAAGTACATATGAGAAATGACCCACCTTTGATGAATCGCAACCATTTGGGTAAGACGTGGTTGGCTTTAGCCATGATTAGTACTTTCCTGCTATAGAGAGCTACACCAACGTCTGTCTCCCTGCTCATGTCAAACATTGCTGCGGAAGAGATTAAAGACAGATTCATCTGAGTCATCTACAACACTTCAGCCAAATTATTCAGTGCTCAATCTCACATTGTTACTGTACAGGGGCACAATAACATTTGCCTCCCTGCTTATCTCAAACATTGCTGCAGAAAATATTACAGAGGTACCATATGGGCCATCTACTAACACTTCAGCCAATCTATTACGCCATCTACTAACACTTCAGCCAATCTATTGGGTCATCTACTAACACTTCAACCAATCTATTGGGTCATCTACTAACACTTCAGCCAATCTATTGGGCCATCTACTAACACTTCAGCCAATCTATTGGGTCATCTACTAACACTTCAGCCAATCTATTGGGCCATCTACTAACACTTCAGCCAATCTATTGGGCCATCTACTAACACTTCAGCCAATCTATTGGGCCATCTACTAACACTTCAGCCAATCTATTGGGCCATCTACTAACACTTCAGCCAATCTATTCGGTGATCAATCTCAAACTGCTACTGTACAAGGCCACACCAACATCTGCCTCCCTGCTCATTTCAAATCCTATTGCAACAAAAAAAGATTGTACAAGCATCATGTGTGTCATTTACTTCATTTCAGCCAATCTACAGAGCTCAACACTTCTGCCATACAGATGCTATGCTGGTAAACAGAAATATTGCATCCTTCATCTTCCTGTTAGTGTTCACCGGCTGTGAACACCAGTGGAAGGTTCGTGAATTTAATTTATTCTGATTTTAGTCCTGTCTTGTAAACACTGTTTTACAGATCTGGCTTATTTGTATGCAGATTGTTGATTCCTAACTTCTCAGGCAGATACATCCCAATTCTGAAGGCATAAATGAGAAATATACAGGTGTACATGAGAAACACACAAGTGCATATAAAAATATAAACAAACAGGTCCACTGGGAAATGCAAGAATACATGAACAATGCACAGGTGCACATGAGAAATACAAAGGTGAACACAAGAAAAGTATACATGACAAATATACAGGTACAGACAAAGCATGCACATGTATACACAAAGAAGAGGTGAACATCAACTGACTTGGTTTGTACTCTGGCACATAGAACAGTGCTCTGATGTTCAGCGGCGCATCTGTCTTGTAATGAAGGTGGTAGCGGGGCTTGTCGTAAACATTACCGATAAATCTATAGAACTCTTCATGCATTTCTGGTGTCACATCTTTTGGGTCCATGGTCCACAAAGCCTGTTGAGGCAGGATACATACAGAAACATTTGCAGATTAATACTGAAACCAACTAGATCAGCTGAAAAACCACAGCTCTGGCTTAAAGATGCTGAGTTAATTTGGTGTACCCCCGAGTGGGTTCCGGGGCCCTATTTTAGGGAAAACAAGAAAAGACCCCTTGCCTACCCAAAAGCATGTCGTAAAAGTCGACTAACTGGTAGCTTCCTTCGAAGATGGAGTGCATCTGCCTGAGAGGCAAGGAACCAACAATCTGCACACAAATGTGTCAGATCTGTCAAACGGATGCGCACGCAACACTCAGGTTCTGGAACAGGACTGCAGTCCAGAAGTGGACGAACAACCAGAACTTTCCACCAGAGTTTACAGCTGGTGAACGCAAAGAAGAAGAAAGAATTTGGTGTAAAATAGAATTCTAAATTTATGTGCCATATATCAAAATATGCCATCTTTATTAATTTTTGAGATATCACTATGCCATGATGAGTATAAACTTGCTATTTTATGCATAAAGTATGATATTTTCAATAAATAACCATGAAAATATATTCAGTGTAGCCCAAAAATTCTTTTTTCCTTAAATCTTTAAAAAAAAAATGTAACTACAGAAAGCATTGTTTCGAGCAAATATAATCAAATTCATTGTGGGGATCTAACCTGTCCTGAAGGAGGTTTTAGTAATTATTAGGCAAGAGTATTAACACAGCACTCCAGATTACCACCGAGTAACCACCGATCTGGCCACATCAAGATACCAGCTAAGTGATTTTGTGTATCTATGAAGCATTGTTTAATTTGTATGTGCTGATGAAGGCTTAATAGCTGCAACGTTCACGTTTTGTTTGTACTTGTTATTGTGAAGCTTGCTAATATACTTTTCGTTCGGGTTTATATCTTTTCCAGATTACCAGGTGTCCAGATCTCCTTCTCATTCACTAAACAAGCTTAAAATCTATGATAACCCCCATTCTGAATTGATTAATGTGCTGTTGTAGAGTTATGATGAACCCTTTTTGTGTCCTCTTAGTGAAATGTTAGCGGCAGCAGCTTCAGCATATCCATCAACCTGGACAGGTAATACTGTCACGCCGGTTGCTTCTTCGTGTTCACCAGCTGTACACTCCGGTGGCAAGTTCTGGTTGTTCGTCCACTTCTGGACTGCAGTCCTGTTCCAGAACCTGAGTGTTGCGTGTGCATCCGTTTTACAGATCTGACTCATGTGTATGCAGACTGCTCATTTCTTGCCTCTCAGGCAGATGCATTCCGACTTTGAAGGAAGCTCCCATTTAGTCGACTCTTATGACATGCTTTTGGGTAGGCAGTGGATCTATTCTTGCTTACCCTATAACAGGGCCCTGGGACCCACATGGGGAATGTTGGTTGCAATAACTGTCTTTGTGCTGAGCATATCAGACAACATTAATGACATCACTCCCATCCAATGCTAGACCAGTCAAAGTAGCTGCAGTGTCCACTGTAAGTGGCTGTTTTCTTAATTAGCTATTATGAAATATGTTCATACGACGTATAGTTAATGCTACTGGCTGTGTTCACGCCTGTCCAAACATTTACTAGGTCTGTATATGAATTGAATATATTAACTAAAAATAGATAGCACTAGAGGTTGGATGAGGGGGGGGGGGGGGGGGGGAGGAATGCTCCTTCATATCAAATGGTTTTTTTAAAGCCAAGATGACATCAAAATTTCCCGAAAGCCTCAGTGATTAAAGTCAAGGGGCGAAAGCATGAGTTACAAGACTGCAGCCCTAGGGAATGTATTCCATTTAATGCTTCATTCTGGTCATGTTTATTGACTATCCCTTAATATAACTTTACATATTTTTAGGAACAAAAATTACGGATGTCATAACCAGGACAAAAGGGTTGAGATAAGCGACCAAAAGAATGAGACATAAACATTCATGTGAAGATTTTACCTGCACAATATTTGCCTTCTTCCCATTTAAGTAGATGGGAACACCAACAAAGTTGCTGTATTTCTTCACAACCTCTGCAAAAATCATTATTACTTATTATTACAACTGTATTTTAAAAAAATAAACAATTATCTGGGCAGAAAGTTTTATAAACTAAGCTAAATCTACCCGTAAACATACACAAATATGAGAAAACTGAACCTACATTAAATATACGCCAAAGCTCTGCCTGTATAAGTAAAAATCCCTTTTACACGCCTATGGCGTATTGGGAATATAGCGCTAAACCTATATTTGTATAGACCAATCAGCACTTGTTGGGTGATGTGGTCAGCATCATGATGGAGCCACCTTTACTTCCCTGGACTGCACCCGGTTCCCACTCAAGGCTGGGTCGACCGTGAAGTCAAGGTCATTTTTTTTAAAATGAACACATGGCGAACACATAACCTTGGCGTCTAGCCGCCAATGCCACAGCAACTCCAAGCTCTACTTGTGAACATGAAAAAAAATATGAGAAAACTGAAAGTACGTTTAAAATTCGCTATGACAAAGCCATAAGGCAATTAGAACTGTCTTCATCTCAAAGACAGAAAGCAGACAAGCTATTGTATCAGAGCCAGTTCCCTGCTGCTGACCACATCTTTCTCCTTCTTTCCACAGGACATCCTTAAGAAATAGGAAAGCAGAAAGCACACAAATCGATGTTTCAGCCTTTCTCGACATGGACTGACTAAACAACAATAACAAAGGGGAGGCATGGGAACATATGAAAATGCTTGGAATTAGAATATTTCTTTACTACGAGAATTTTACATCAACTAAGCCTAAAATGGGCACCAAAAAAGGAACTGGAGAGTAAAAGCAACTTGCATCAGGCTGTACAAACATACTGAAATATTCTTGATCTGATAACTGTTTATACTAGTAGTTGTGCAGATATTTCCCTAATTTCTTTGCTTTCATTCATCAATATTCACAGTAGGGTTTCTCTCAGATGTTCTCCTTTCTTCAATCAGTCAGTTTCTTATCTCTCGGCTTGTTGTGTTATTCTTTGTCAGCTTTTGGCTCAGGATGTGACAAATATATCACCATCTTCTTTATCCTATAATTACTGACACAATTGGTGGTCCAGACATTTCCTGTTGTAACGAGATTTCTTCACCTTTCCTGATTAACTAAAATTATTACGCGAGAGACTTTGCCATAAAATGTTACCTTTGATGACCTCCTCCTTAGCAAAGTTGTAAGCATCACCTTTGAGGTGTATGACAATTTTGGTGCCTCTCTGAACTCCCTCGGCTTCAGAAATCTCGTACTTCCCTGACCTGCAATCAGCAGATTGTAAGCAAACATATAAAACAAGACAGCTAAGCATTTAAAACATAAAATACAACACTTAAACAGACAGAACAAAACACTGAAATGTTCAAACAAAATATCCAAATACAACAAGAAATTTCCATCATAAAATTTACACACACACAAAAAAAACATATAAGAAAAAGTATTTAAATGTATACAAAAACAAATATATACCTATAAATCAAAATATCCAACCACAAACATTCACAACACAAAAGAAATATCCAAACATATAAAACGCAACATACAAACATAAAATAAAACATTTCAAGATATATCCAATACAGACAAAAACAGTATAACTAAACACAAACCACCCCCCCCCCCCCCCCCTTCCCCTTTTTCCTGTGTGAGCTCCATTTTGGGGAGAGAAAAAGAACAGATTCAACCCCACCACCTTTTTATTTTAAAGCAACTTTTGTTTTTAAAGGACTTTTCCACAAAAATTCCTAAAGGATTATGATCCAAGTATTTTTTGGGTGTTGGCTAAGATATCACAACATCAATATAAACACATCATTACAAACCATCACTGGCAAGTTAGATACAAAGCCAATCTTCTCTCACATTATCACCATCAACATCATGTGCCCTGTCAGGTGGTACAGGCCTCACATCTCCCCACAGATCTCAGTCCTTTGTAATTCTGAATCAATTCCACTGATGATATTCCTCCAAGCATCATTTTTCTTGGTCTGCCTCTGTGATCGCTGATCTTTCCAGTCATCACTGTGCTTCTTTGATGCCTCTCCTCTCATCACATGACCAACATCCTCTCACATACATCATAAAAAATAATCATATTGTGTTCACAATATGAAATATTGGAAACATCACAACTACCCTGCCCTGGCCAGTACTCACCCATCAGATGACCACTTGTATGCTGGAGATCCTGGCTTGTACGACTTGGTATACACATCTACTTTATCACCCACCATAAACGTCGAATAAAAGCCAACACCAAACTGGCCAATCAAGTTGCTACTGATATCCCCTTTACTACTTTTCTCTGCCAGCTGCTCCAAGAAAGCCTAAGTGTGCAAACCAAACAGAAATTGAATATGTAATTTATCTTTAAAAAATACAACTCATACTCTATATTTTAGGGTTTTTCAACTGGTGGCCGTGGAGGCCTAGCAAATGGCATGCAGATCAATGTTAGTTGTACAGTATTACTGAGTTTTTTTTTTGGTATACAGTAGGGCTGTACCGAATATTCGCTTCGTATTCTCTTCGGGGCCGAATAGTGGACCGAATGACTATTCGGTATTCGGCAGAATAGTTGCGGTCAGGCCGAATACGAATAGTGGTTACCTTACATTCATTTCTGCGTACACTGCAATGGACTGAAATAACTCTCTCATTAACACAGTAGTTGCTGTTGCCTAAGTTTGTAGTAGCGGGGAAAACTGCGACCAGGTTGCGTGGTACAGAAGCAGACAAGGTATTGCCTCGACAGAGGCTTTACAGCAAGGGATCTCAAATTGAGTGCGTATGCCAGGGGTGCCGGGGTGAAAATCAAGAAAAGTCAGCTATAAATTATGACATTATTAAAGAAGACATAAAGATATTTGAGATACTTTCCACGCCACTGTCAAAAAGAGCACAGGCGACAGGCAATAACTGCATTTTATATATAATATATCTTTGCCATTGAAGGTTAGAAAAATAATTCTTGCTTGCTACTATTTTTCTCCTATTCTTCCAGTTTTAAAATGTGGTTGTAAGTCCTGGACAATCGGTAGGCAGGTCAAACAATTTCTCTAGGCTTCAGAGATGTAGTTTTATAGAACAATGCTTAAAATACCTTGAATAGCGCCCCCAAAAAAAGCAACTAATAGGTTTTGAAAGAGGCGGGAGCCCGAAGACAACTAATCACAGACATCAGAAGGAGACAGTCACAATATTTCAGCCATGTTACGAGAAGAGGGAAAATGGAACATTTGGTGACCACTAGAAAGATCTGTGGAAGGAGGGATAGAAGAAGACAATGAGAAAAGATTCTTGACAGTCTTGTTGCATGGCATATAGGTGTGTCGGCACCCGATCTGATGCATGCTGCAGGAGATCGTAGATTGTGGCGAGGCATAATCGCGCACGTCAGTCGGCGAGGCACCTGATGATGATGATACACTATTCGTATTCGACCGAATAGTTGGTCCCACTATTCGTATTCGGCCGAATAGTGAAAATCATTATTCGGTACAGCCCTAGTATACAGCATTGTGGCCTATGATGGTCCCCAATTTCAAAATTGTGTCCCTTGAGTAAACTTCAACAGCTCTGCTTTATATCATGCCTATTCAACTGACAGCCAGTGGGTCAAAATTGGGTCGTGGAGGCCTAGCTAGCGGCATGTGGATCATTGCCAGTTGTATTTTAATAATGATTTTTCAAAGCTGGGGCTCAAGCCTCTGGCCCATGAAGATCTACATTTTCAAAATTGTGGTCGCTGAGTAAACTTAAGTTGTATAGCCCTGCTCCATATGATGGAAACCACAGTAACACAGTGGCTCCACTCACCTGCTAACTTGGAAGTTTTGGAGTCTGAATCAGCACTGTGGCAATTTTGTTTTTCAAAATTGACATTGGCTCCCAGGTTGTCCCAGCCAGAATGGGTACCAAGTAAAGGGCAGCTGACATGAGGTTAACCCATCACCCACGGAGTGTGTGGATTGGTGTACAAAAACGTATCCAGCATCATTTGCCAGATGCTGGTTTTAAAAGGGTCCCTTACCGACTTATTCGTCATAGTACATTTTTGAAAAATTTAATAACATATATTAAGAAACAAAAGCCTCTCTGATGTGTCTCCATTTCAGGGTGGTAGTGGGGTTTGGGTGTTTCACTGATCCCCACGATTTATACTGGCAGTAGCTTAACTACTGTTAGGGTCTTTCAGGTCATGTTATATTCCTAAAACTTCCCTGTGTGGGTTGTGGGGACCTAATTTGTGGTGGTGGGGCGAAGGAACCCACTGATCATTAACAAGCCTTTCATAAAAGGCAACTCATTAAAGGACTCTGGGCTCAAAAGTTCAGGTATCGTAGTCAAGAGGTAAATCACAACACAATGTACGAACCATCATTTTAAGGGTAAAGGCAGATTAAAAGTATTCCCGAAAGCAAACCCATGACCTTAACAGGGCGAGACAAACAACTTAACTACTTCGCCATGGAGACTTCCTCTCTTTAAGTCAGCTAACAGGAACAAACAGAACAAGACTCACTTTAGATCCAGATTTAGCAATGGTGCCCAAGTTGTCGACCAGTTCTTCTTTAGTCAAGCCTATGCCGGTGTCCTAGAAAAAGAAGACAAACAATTTAGCTGTGCTCAACTGGTCAAACATCAACAACTGATAAACAAGGTATAAATAAATCATCATCATCCTGCTGTCGAGCAGCTATACACAACACAGGACTTGTAGTCTTGTCCTTCATTCTACTCTATCCTGTGCAAATCTTTCAGTATGACTGAAGGAATCCGGTTCAACACCTTGAGCCTCTCTCAACAACATTAAACACACACAAACATACCAGAAATATAATCAATTCAAACTAGCTTCGGCTCCACAGTGAATCTGGGCTGTAACAGATCTTGAACACTCTGCTCTCTGTCTCTCACCCAGTCTGTACACTCTCTCAGACACTACTTCATCTCCTGAATTTTCCTCCTACTCTTCTTTCTTCCTCACGTTCACAGGCTGTAAACTCTGGCGTTCTGATTGTTTGTCCACCTCTGGACTTTGGTCTTGTTCCAGAACCGAGTCACGTATACACATCCATTTTACAAATCTGACATTTGTATGCAGATTGCTGGTTCCTTGCCTCTGAGACAAATGCTATAATCCACCCTATGCTCAAAAGCAGGAAGGACAAGAAGGACCCTCAGAGCAACAGGCTTGTAAGTTTGCTACGTTACCCAGAAAAACTGAAGGAGAGACTGCTGACCATGTCATATTGTGCCTGATCTTCTACCATTGCTGACTCATTTAAGAAAAACAGGAAAGATGAACTTCTGTATCAATGGCACGTATGACGTCATTCATAATCTCATCCTTGCTGCTCACTCCTGAAGCCCTTCTCAGACATCTCATTTTCATGGTTACAGAATAAAGCTACAAACAGCAAACCATAACATATACAATTAAGTTGTAAAGAGGGAAGAAAAACCTGAATAGTGAATGTCTTCTTGTCATCATTTGTTGCAATATGTATCTCCAAGGGCAGATCTCTGTCCTCTACCTCTGAACCAGTGAGTTCATAGTAGCGAAGCTTTTCTAGGGCATCACTTGCATTTGATATAAGCTCTCGGATAAACACCTGTAAAATATGGATCAACATTAGTCTTTAGACAACAAGCCTAAAAGAAACAACTACAGAGTACAAACTAATTGTCCTTACCCTCACAGAACCACAGGTTACACATGGAGGGTGTGGCCATTACAGGTGCCCTAATTATAACTTCTCAGGAGGTTGAATGGGGTACCTGGGATCTACCTGGTTGGTCTGATTTTTAAACCTCAGGATGGTATGGTAAACCTTTAAGTAGCAGCCCAGAGAGGACAAACTAATTGATCGATTGATGTTGAATTAACATTAGTCTTTTTTCTAGGGAAGGTAACAAAAATACAGGAACTACTATAGAGTATGTATTCTTTTTTGTTTCTCTCTCCCTTCTACACAGTTTGGCTGGTTCTGCACCCCTTGGAGGTAAAGTGATGCAGGACAAGATAGATGCTGCCATGGTCCTTAAGGAGACAGTGAACAGTGGGGTCTTAATGGAGCAGTGATGTACAAGACAAGACTTAATGTCTCTTAGGCTCTCTTGCTCAAGCCTACCTCACTTTCATGTGGTGAACCTTGTTCTAATCTGTCCAGTAATTCAGTGGAAGGCTGGGCTTTAAATCTTCAGTGGTAAACCCGATCAGACAATAGATGAGGTAAGATGGAATCTGGTTCTGTCAGCTGCTACTAGTTGAGTGCGACACTGTTAGCACTGAACTTCATAGGGCATTGTTTCCTTAAACTTTTCTTGGTCGCAGCGCGATTTTAAAAATTAAACCCCCCCCCCCCCCATGTGGGTTCTGGGGCCCTATTGTGGGGAAAACAAAAATAGACCCACTGCCTCCCCAAAAGCATGTCGTAAGAGTCGACTAGCTGGGGAGCTTCCTTTGAAGTCGGAGTGCATCTGCCTGAGAGACAAGGAATCAGCAGTCAGTATTCAATTGAATCAGATCTGTAAAACTGATGCACACACAACACTCAGGTTCTGGAGCAGGACTGAAGTCCAGAAGTGGATGAACAACCAGAACTTTACGCCAGAGTGTACAGCTGGTGAACGCAAAGAAGAAGAAGACGAAATTAAATTTTTCCACGGTGCCCCAACCTAAGTAAAAGTATGACTATTTGTGTCTTTGTTAAATTAATTATGAAGCTTTTACATTTTTTTGCGGCGCCCCTGTGAAGAGGTCACGGCTCCACGGGGCGCAGTTTGGGAATCAGTGTCATAGGGAATGCTTATTGTCTGTGCTCTTAGAGATGTGTTGTGTAAAATGGATATTCATAAAATGGTGAGTGGCTGGTTGCCACAAAACTGGTGGTGAACGAACGAACGAAAGAACAAACTTTATTTTCAAAGGGTTACAAATTAGGCACGCAGACCTGTCTTACATTGAGCCTTATGCAGTAGTGCATACTGATGTGCAGTTTGTCGTGACTGCTGCTTCCATCAACTATAAATAGCAATTCGAGTGATAGACGGTAGGTGTGGCCACCTTTCGCTGCTACCTTATGCATCTGATGTGTGTGTGTGTGAGCTATTGGATTCTGCTTTGACTGCTGTCTGAGTTTTCACATAGGACAGTGATGGGCATTTTGTGTAGTTTTCATTGGCACAAGAACAGAGCGACTATGGGGCGACAGTGCCGAGGTACACATAGATCATTACAGAGGAAAGGCAAGATGGACATACAATCAGACTGCCACTGGTACCAATAAAACTGGTTGCTGAAGATAAGGGTGGCACACTTATGGGATTGCCCTGAGTTCTGTGATATCGTTTTTTTACTCAATTCAACTCTCTTTTTCTTCTTCTTCTGTCATCACACTGTTACTGGGTTCTAGACCAGTGTCTTGATTTCCTGTATTTGCCTTGTGCTTCTCCGTGGCTTGAGTGGTTAAGTTCATCTTTTTTTGTACTCATCCAAATGTTCTGTTATAGGTCTCACTGGCGCAAATGAAAAATAGCGAAAGCTGGCATTACACTGCAATTATGCGCCATTCTAAATGTAACTGGACACCTGTCATTTTAGTGCAGTCAATTACATGCCATGGGCACAACAGAAAAACTCCATTCCATAAGATGTCACAGTTTTGCACCCAACATTCAACTCAGTAGCTAGATGAGAGTTTGGACTATCGATCCTTCTTCTTCGTCACGTTTACAGGCTCTAAACTCTAAGGGGAAAGTTCTGGTTGTTTGTCCACTTCTGGACTTTAGTCTTGCTCCAGAACTTGAATTTTGCGTTTACATCCATTTAACAGGTGTTGCTTATTTGTACATAGATTGCTGGTTTTTTACATTTCCAGCAGATGCACTTCAACTGTGAAGGAATCATGCCTAATTAGTCAACACTTACGACAGGCTTGTTTGGGGCACAGTGACTTTATTCTTTGTCTCTCGAAAATAGAGGAAGGGAAGAAGAAGAAGAAGAAGAAAAAGAAGATGAGGAAGAAAAAGATGATCAATAAGAAGAAGAAGAAGAAGAAGATGAAGAAAAAGAAGAAGAAGAAGAAGATGAAGAAGAAGAAAAAGAAGAAGAAGAAGAAAAAGAAGAAGAAGATGAAGAAAAAGAAAAAGAAGATGAAGAAGAAGAAAAAGAAGAAGAAGAAGATGAAGAAGAAGAAAAAGAAGAAGAAGATGAAGAAGAAGAAAAGAAGAAGAAAACATGCTATACACATAAATAGCTCCTTTTTTTGGGGGGGGGGGGAGATTTCAAACAAACAAACAAATGTCTGGCCCATCACCACAGGGGAAATTAGCTGCTGTAGTCATGTGAACGGACAGCTCTGTTTGGGAACACCAATGTGCTGCTCTCAGTTTTATCCAGGATGTAACTCACATTTAACTGTCTTTCTTCTTCTTCTTCTTCTTTGCGTTCCCCAGCTGTAAACTCTGGTGGATTGTTCTGGTTGTTCATCCACTTCTGGACTGCAGTCCTGTTCTAGAACCTGAGTGTTGCGTGTGCATTCGTTTGAAAGATCTGACACATTTGTGTGCAGACTGTTCGTTCCTTGCCTCACAGGCAGATGTACACCAACTTCAAAGGAAGCTCCCCAATTAGTCGACTCTTACGACATGCTTTTGGGCAGGCAGTGGGTCTATTCTTGTTTTTTCTTATAATAGGGCCCTGAAACCCACACAGGGGATTTAACTGTCTAAAGACTATGAGAATGTTTCTATTTTCCTAAATATCCTGTTGTGAAAATCAAACCCTGGTGCATCAAGCATTATGAAACCTGTTCACTACCACTAAGTCTAAGAGATGTCCTAAAAATACTAGGGATACTCATATTACTCAGTATACTGATGCATGCCTCTCAGTCTAACAATCAGCTGTTTTTTTCTGTACAAGGTCTTCAATGACTGTAACTGACTGTGGGTGCACCACTCGCCTGACTCAGTCGTGAACAGTCTGTCACAGAAGCCACTACATTTTGAAATGTTCTACTCCACTTCAACGCTTCCTGGACTGACATGTATGCATCTCCATACTGGACCTTCATTTAGCGGATAAATTTCTAAACATTTTAAACAAAAAAATTAAACAAACACAAAAAAAAAATAAAACCAAAAAATATTATAGAATGCTGCTCCACTTTACTGTATGCCAACAATGGGAAAGCCATTGTCAAACTGCACCATGAAGTCATGTGCTTAAAACTCTTGACATCCTTAACAACGATACTGACAGGTCACAAGCTTATTATAATTTTTATGACACTTTTTAAGGTTTTCATGGGAAGCCCCCTCATTTCAAAACATGAATTTCACGAATCTAACCTCTTTCTCCGAGTAGAGCGACTTGGCAACAATGTCCAGCAACTGTCTGGTTTCTGCCTGGAATTCATGTGTGTCTGAAGGACCTGAAGCAGATTCCAGAAGCAAAATATGACTAGGAATGTGTAAAACTGGACAAATGACACAATCTACTGAAATAACGTGTCTACTGACAATGATTTCATAATCTATCTAATTAAATTACTTCAGTTATCAAGATGATTTCACAATCTGCTGAAATGACATAATCTAAATAAACGATTTAATAGTCTACTGAAATGATAAAACTGCCTATGTGAGTTCCGCAGCTCTATTTTGGGGAAAACAAGAAGAGACTCAATGCCTCCCTAAAAACATGTCGTAGGAGTCGACTAAGTGGGGGCAAGAAACCAACAGTCTGCATGCATATGTCAGATCTGTATAACAGATGTGCACACAACGCTCTCTTTCTGGAATAAAACTAAAGTCCAGGTACAGATGATCAACCGGAACTGTCTGCCGGTGTTTACAGCTGGCAAATAGAAGTAAAACAAATGACATAATCTACTGAAACGACATCTAGTGAAATTACATAATCTACTGAAATAATTTAGCAACCTACTGAAAACACGAGTAAAAGAACTAGAGATCATCAAAGATTCATTATTTTTTAATTCAGAATAGCAAATTTACCATACAAAATGTAACCAGACACCTCATATTATATAAACAAATTCTACCCGACCAAAGAGTTACCCTAAACAGTACACATAACTACACCACAACCCATCCCAAAGCAACCCACCTTTTCCTCTTTCTGTATCTTTTATAATGTTGTGGTAATCTTCATCTGTTTCCTCGGCAGTGTTTGTACTCATCAGACGACTTGAGATGAAAACAGGCTGCCGTAGGTTGACGTGTGTCCCCCATGTTGCTTGATAGTGACTGGCGAGACACATTCTTGTGGATGCTGAAGGGTACAAATTTTCAGAAAGAATATCTTTAACACAGTTTTACAAAAATATCAGTAGATGTATTTGATTTCTCGGTACAACAAAAGGTTACATAATAATATATTTAGTCCATCATGAAACATTTTTCTGGCATTTTTTAAAATCACTAATGAATGTTCTTCGACAGCAAAAAATGATTTCTAAATGTTTTAAAAGTGGTTCATCTAGAAAGCTATAGTAGTAGTAGTACAAAAATTAGATTTCTAAGAGCATGCATCTTTCCCATTGCAACATACGCCTGTGAGACCTGAGCAATTACTCAATAAGCTGAACAGCGCATAAATGCCTCTGGAATACAAATGTTATAGACGGGTTCTAAGAATATCATGGATCAAGAAAAGAATAAATGCATTCATACTTCAAGAACTGAATACTGAAGAAGGTTGTCTATTAAAGGCGACAAAACACAGAAAACTGAAATATTTTGGTCACTTGAAAATCACGAAAGTTTAGATAGAACAATAATGGAGGGGTATAGGCCTGGGAAGAGAGGAAGAGGAAGACCAAAGAGAAGATGGGTGCAGGATGTGGCGGATGATCTCCAGATAGATGTGTCGGACGAGGGACATCTTGCTTGTGATCAAGAAGTTTTTGGAAGGTTGTTATGGGATCAAGATTCTGCAAAGGACAGGCTACTGACTGACTGAGTTATAGTAGTAGTGATAGTGTAGTAGTGGTGACAGTGGTAGAAGAAGTATTGGTAATAAAGTAGTAGAGGTGCAGTAGTATTAGAATTAGTAGTGGCAGTAACAGCAATAATAGTAGCAGCGGTAATAACAGTATTAATAGTGACAGTAGCAGCAGCAGCAGCAGCAGTAGTAGCAGCAGTAACAGCCATTGTAGTAGCTGTGGTGATGCAGTGCCAGAGGAGAGTTAAATTAGTTATAAATCAGCGCATGATAGTTATAAATCAGCGCATTATGTGTTTCTTAAGACCAAAAAAGTTGGGGGGAAAATCATAACAGGTAGCAGAAATAAAATGACTGAATGTTGAACCAAGATTCACAGCACTAGGGATATTCCCACAAGTGCTCTGTCTCGATCTTCAGCAGCAAGCGCAGAGTTCCTATTCTGATGCTACCCAGAAATAAGAAAAGCAAAGGACCCTTTTTTACACCAGTGGCACATCAGGAATATAATGAAAGACTTATTATTTGTAGATCTATCGGCATTCAGTGGAAAATGTGGCAATGTCACATCAGCCGCATCTGCTTCGCAGGACCTTACATGGAACCCATTTTAGGTTGGGTCACGCTGGGCACCAAGGTGAATTTAGAAGAAAATAAAATCAGGCTGGATGTAGATTCAAACCTAAGAACTTAGGCCAGCTACACTGCTGCTAATGGAAACATTTAGTGAAGCTTATTTTTTTTTAAAGCAACCATTTTCCATGCCTTGAGGTGTATCGGGCACACAGGGCTAGCCATATATTTTATACACCAATCAGCATTCAATGGGTGATATGGTCAACATCATGTCAGCCGCCTTTACTTCCCAGGACTCTACCGAGTAACATTTAGGCTTAGTGAAATCTATAGAAGACTTTTAATTAAGTCTGATATGTTGGTGTTCAGACTGCATGAGCGTTGAAAACCAAAATGGGAAATGACCAAAGAAGTGGGGACATTCAAGAAGGAATGATGAGAGACATCAGAAGTGCCAGACTGGATTCCATACAGAGTCGACTGTGAGCCCTATTAGATGTATGAACGACACAACAGGCTGACCAAGATCATTTAAAAATGTAATTCAAAGTAACTGGATCGACTTCATTGCAGTGGGTTTCACCTCATGGCTGGCTGTCTCTCTGCAAAGCAGAAGGCTGGCTGCAGAGCACAACACTGTGTAGCTCCAGAAATGATAAAATAGCTCAATACTATTAAGTGTGGGCTGATGTGAGCCAGTCTGGACACTACAAATCTAGAGGTCATCAACTCTGAGATTCCCTGTCAACTCAGTTCAGGTCACAAAAAAGAACCCTTATCCATGGCGTACAATGTGGACAAGTGGCAGGAGTCCTTGTGTGAGGTTCTGTAAAAGCAGGCCAGAGCAGTCTGGCAGCTGAGATCACAGGTGAGGTACTGAACAACAACATACAAATCACAAGGACCTTAACTTTCTCATGCCAGTGACTGATATCACTGCACCACGTCTAATGATTTTTATCTGTTTTATTACATCTGTGTTCAATGTTCTCTATCTCTGCTTCAATTTGATATTATACTCCCTACATACTTTTGAAGTCTTCCTTGATTCTTTGGAAACGTTGAACTACTAGTACGGCTCTCCTTTAAACTACGGCCGGTTAGTCAGAGTTCAGTCCCTTGGCTGCAGTGCAATTACGGAGTGGGAAAAGAGGGAACGAAACAAATGACATAATTACTGTGTGTTGGTGATAGCGTGCAGTGCCCTGCTGTCATCATACGGCTAGGGTGTGGGTTAGGGTTAGGGTAACGCATGTAACGTTGAGTACGTACTCATAATGACCGCCGCAATATCTGATAATTTTGACCTCACTTTGTTTTGTGACTCTTGCCTTCTCCACTTCGTAATTGCACTGTAGCCAGGGGACTGAACTCTGACTAACCGAGCCGTAGTTTAAAGGAGAACTACTAGTTACTAGTACTATAGTAGTAGTAGTACTAGTAGTTACAGTGTTATCTAACCAAAGATCCACACTAGTGATTCTCTCTGTCATGCGTTAATTTTCTCTGAGTAACTAACTTAAACGAGTCTGCTAGTGCATCTGTCAGTGACATAAGAGTTCATTAATGTATGAAATGGCTCTGTCGCACAAGTTAGCGATCAGCTTCGTTTGGCAGGTACTACATCAATACTAGGGATTTTAGTCAAAATTTTTATTTTGGGTTTCTTACTTTTAAACCAAGACAGCTGAATAGAGGTTGAAAAACTGAGTCCAACGGTACCTCAATGAAGTCTGTATGTCAATTCTAAGCGGAGATATTCACATTTCAGTGACGGAAAGTGCCCTCAAAAAATTATAATGGAAAACACAGAAACAAGATGGCGGC